AGAAGAAGAAGAAGAAGAAGAAGAAGAAGAAGAAGAAGAAGAAGAAGAAGAAGAAAAGCCCTTCCTACTACTCAGTTCACATCCCAGAAGGAAAAAGCCCTTCTGCTTCTCCTCTTAAATACCCTTCAACTCCTCAAAGTCCCTCCTGTTTAATCCCTGTAAAATGGTTGCTTGCTCTGCCTCTTGACCTAGTGTTAACTTTATTTAATCCTGTTTGCAGAAAACTCTTGGATTAAGGGTGTGTGCTAGGCTGAGCCACACTACAAGTATTTGTTTACAGTAAATAGAAAGCTCTAGTATCAAAGACTGAGCCACACCACAATTAGAAACAGGTTTTTCCAGTTCACAATCTCAGGGTTCACAATGGGATGAAATACCCTGCAACAATGTTCAGAAGTGAAAGGACTGTGGCAGGAAGGTGGTAAGGGTAATTAGCAAGGACAAATTACTGTCCCAGTGAAACTGATATTTTTATGGTAAATTGTCATCATTAAAGATAGTGGATTTTAAGCACTTAAAGTACCAGTAGTAAGTAGATCATGCTAGGAATATTAGCTTCTCATTACTATAATAAATACATGAGATATCAATTTGTAAAGAGAAAAGTTGTTTCAACTTAGAGTTGAAAGTGTCCCAGTTCATGACTTTTTGGCCCCAGAGCTTTGGGCCTGAGGCCAGGTGGTACAACACCATTTCAGGAGGCTGTGAGAGAACAACTTCCTCATTTTATAGCTTGGAAGCAATGGGACAAAGAATGGGATAAAACGGCCCCCTCCATGGGTCCACCTCCAGAGACCTAACGGCCTCCAGTAGTCCCACCTCCTGCAGCTTTCAGTACTCCCAATAGGACCACTTGGGAGAAGAGGATCAGGTCTCTCCTGTGTGACCCTTTGGGGTTACACTCATCCAAATCACAGAACTGAGCTCATGTGAGCTCACTGTCACTGTCTCATTTCTCTCTCTTTCCATCTCTCTCCAGTTGCTGCAAAAGCATGGTAAGAGTCATGGCTCTGACGAGAGCTGCTCACTTACAGAAGAATCCTGCTAAGGATCTTCAGGAACTGGAGAGGATGAAGGTAAGGATTTTTTTTTTTGTCTTAGCTTTGCTTTCTTTGTTTTTAGCAGATTTTCCAGGTCAAAACAACTGTACATATTTGAACTAAATAATTTTATAATTCTAAAATATTCTTGTGGCCATTAAAACACTCACTATAATAGACGTAATGAAATATCTAATACTCTCAAAGTTTGCACTCCTTGGTAATTGACTAAGTGGTTGTTCTGAGACTCACTCAAATTGTTGCTTTTATCAAAAACCCATGCTTTTTTAGTGAAGAATAGCTATCTTCTTCATTTGTCCTCAGTGTGACTTGAAAGGAGGAAATATTTGGCTCATGGTTTCAGTCAGGGTTCAGCTGGTTCCATTGCTTTGAACCTGCACTGAGGTAGGGCATCATGGCAAAGGGATGTAAGAGAACAGAAATGCTTATCTCACTGTAATGGGGGAGTAGAAAGAGACAGACAAGAAGGGGCTAGGGACAGGACATACATTTCAAAGACAGAACCCCCACTTTTGCAACCATGTCCTATGTTCTATTTGTTAGTATTTAGGCAGCCTGCTTCTGTGTTGCTTAGCAACCTATGATGTCATCATGTGGTGCTGGTCAGGTAGCCACACCTGGCAGGTGTGGTTACATTGATCCTAAAAGGACCAACTCACCACTTTGTCTTTCTCTTGGCTCTTGCCCTCTCCTCTCTTACCTTCTCTCCTTTCTCTGTTGGAGCACTTCCTCTCTTCCCCCATCATGTCTCGCTCTCTCCTTCTCTCTCTCTCTTCATCTCCATCTAATAAACCTCTTTCATATAAAATCTGCTGTGTACATCATCATTTTCATTTGGTCCTAACACTATTAGCTCATTCCTCACAAACTTCTCAATGGATTAACCCATCCACAAAGTTGGTACCCTCATGATATACTTCTCAAAGGATCACTAGGTCAAAGTCAAGTCATGAGCTGTTCAAGGGAACACTTCCTACTCAAAGAGTAATGCAAGTATTTTACTGTATGGATATACATATATGTGCACACGTGTACGTGTGTGTGTGTGTGTGTGTGTGTGTGTGTGTGTGTATAATTTATCCATTCTCTCTTGATGGACACCTAAATTGTTTCCAGCTTTGATTATTAAAGGCAAAGCTTCAATGCACTAATCTTTGAACAGACATTTACTCTTTTCTCTTGGAATGGGATATGTATATTTCCAAGGTGACTGAATCATTTTTACACTCCTGTCAGCAATAAATAACAATCATTTGTTTCACAACCTCACGGATAGTTGATATAGCCCCTATTTTTTCCTTTCCTTTTAAAAAATCTATTTATTCATTTTACAGCCTGATTGCATCTCCCTCCCACCTTTCCTTCTAATTCCACTCTTCCTTTTCCTTCCCCCTTCCCCTATTCCTCAGAAAAGAGGAACACCCCCCTACCCACCCACCCCAGCTCATCAAGTGGCATCAGGACTGAGCATGTCCTCTTCCCTGTGGCCTGGTGAGGCAGCCCTGCCGGGGTGCAACCCCTGTTTTAAATTGTGGACATTTTAGTATGTGGGAAGTAATAGGTTATCATGGTTGTATTTAAGTTTCCTTAATGACGGATGATGTTGAATTTCTTTTCTTGTGCTTATTCTTCATACATATGTCTTTGGCATATATAAATCATTGGCACACTCATGTTGGAGCTCTTCATATGGGCTGAATCTTATATCCTATGTGTAATTTTAAAATATACCCTCCAGCTTGTGGTGTTTCTTGTCTTAACAGTATTTTGAGGGCTGGGCAGATGGCTCAGCAGGTAAAGCCCTTGCTTGTCCATGCCTGAGAGCTGGAGTTCAGACTTCCAGAACCCATGCAGATATCAGGTACTCATGGCAGCCTGCCAGCAACCCCAAAGCTGGGAAGGCAGAAAAAGGAGATTCTTGGATCAAGCTCTTTAGTTGGACTGCTGAATCAGTGAGGTCTGGACACTGCCTCAACATGTAAAGTAAAAGAGCGATAAGAGGAAGGAACCAGATACCAACCACTGGACTCCACATATCCACATATGCACATAAACCCACACAAACATATGAGTCCACACACATGAAAACACATCTACAGACATGCATGTCACACACACATACAAAAATGCATGCTCCATAGAAAGATACTTTGAGAGATAGGAAATTCTTAATTTTGATGATAATCTAACTTTCGTTTTTTGTTTTTGTTTTACAGATCTTGCTTTTTTTTTTATTTCTTCAAAGAAGTTTTGCCTAGCAATACCATATAGATTTTTTTCTCTCATTTTGTCTTCTAGATATTAAATAGTTTTAAGCTCTATTCTCAGGTTTAGTATCCTTTTTGAGATAAATTTCTAAAAAACACCTGTGTTGCCAGGCATGGATTAAATTTCTTCTTCTTTTTTTTTTTTTTTGGCATGTATCTGATTATTGTGGTGCCATTGTTAAAGCCTGCTATTTATCAGGCGGCCCTGGCATCTTGGTTGAAACATCTATTGAACATGTATGTGGCTATTATTCTGGATATTGTATTGTATTGTTGATCTATTTGTCAATATGATCACCATTACCAAGCAATCTTCATTATTTTTATAATAAGTTTTGTAATCTAGTAGTATAAATCCTTAAAATTTGTCTTTTGCCAGGTTATGTGGAGGCTGGTTATACCAAGTCTTTTGTTTTACCATGTGAACTTTAGCTTATTGATCTCTTCCAAAGGTTTGCTGAGTTATTTATTTGGGTTATAGTTTAACTAGTGATCCGTAGGAGGAGGACTAACCTGCTAACCACCTTTATCTTTGGATCTGTCAACACAGTGTATGTCTTCACTTAAGTTTATTTCACTGAAATTTTGTGATTTTTCAGCATATAGTTCTTACTTTCATCAAATTTATCCCTATTTTATTTTGGTGCTACTATAAATATTCAGTATTTCATACTGAGAATCACATGAATATTTGATTGATATTGATATATACACAATGCTTAGAAAAGAGTTTATTTTAGTACAGAGCTAAAAACTGTAAATGAGTTTGCGATTTCTAACTGTTGTGAGACAGACAACATAAATATGTCTATTTACTCCAGATAGGGAGACCACACAGACCACAATAATGATTATACCAATGTCCATGGTGTATCAGTGAGTTTTATTGGAATTACTTACAGGAATGTGAATAAGGGGTTACTTACAGGAACAGTCGCTCAAAGGTGACTGCATCACCAAAGCCCAGTCCAGCATGGGTGAGAGCTCACAAACGCTGGAATCCAGGACACACTGCACAGCCTACAGACAGGTCAACAGCTTGGAGTTTCCTTTGCAGGTGGCTCAGTTGGTCTGAACCTTCTTCAGGCAGCTCAGCTTGTCTCTGCTGCTGGGCTTGTCTGAAAGTAACTCTCATCAGGTTTTATTACTTATATACTCTTGGAGAAGGAAGGAAGAGGGCTAGTGAATATAGTCACTTTCAGGGATTTCCTGAAGCTGTTTTGAGTTATTTCCTGTATACGGAGCTTCCCTGCAGAATGGGATGTTTCAATCTTAGAGGAAACTCTCACACAAACTGTTGTTACTAGCAAACAATCACATTGGCATGGTCAGTTACATAAAATTTATTGGGACAGATCATTTGTTAGTTAATCCTTCTGTATCTGGTTTTCTGATACCTCACCACACTTTATCCTATTACAACCCAAATCATAAACCCTGTTAGTGAAGGATAATGTGATTTAGGCCTACATTTGTAGTAAGATACTTCTGTGCAAGACTTTGAACTAACTGGACAGAAAAAAGTTACAGAGGAATTGTGCTTAGCAGGTCAGTGGAGTCAATGAATGACTTTGTACAGTTTTTTTTTTTCCATGTGTAGTAATTATGCTTTATCTCTTCCCAGAGAGAATGTTATGATTGGATCAACACATGTTCATACCTCCTTTCTGATATGAAAGGCAGGAAAATATTATTGCTGACATTTGAGGAAGCAGAGGAGCTGCTTGGGGAAGAGGTATTTATTATATGCTGCTATCATTGGCTTGTAAGGAAATGAATGGAATAGTCGTTAGTAAGGTCATATTCAGGTTCTTTCTGCATCTCGGTATGTAAGTTGCAGCATCTTTCTGAAATTGCTGTTTTGCATCCTTACTATAGCCACTGTAGGAAGAGAGTTTGTTTCTGATCCAGAGCATCAGCAGCTCTTCCTCAGACAGTTTAAAATAAATTTTGGATTCGTGTGTGTGTGTGTGTGTGTGTGTGTGTGTGTGTGTGTGTGTGTGCGCGTGCGTGTGTGCGCACGTGTCTGCCCATCCCTGCACCTGTGCCTATGTCTGTGGAGGCTGGCATTATATACAGGTCTGTGCTGCCTGACATGGGTGCTGGGAACTGAACCTGGGTTCTCTGCAAGAGCAGCAAGCCCTCTGAGCTGTTGAACCATCCCTGCAGCCCTTGCTGCAGGTGACCTTGAATCTACCTCTTATTTCCTCTCTTTTTTCTTTCTCTCTCTCACCTCTTCCCGCCCCCCATGAAACAGGGTCTCACTGTGTAGCTCTGGCTAACCTGGAAATCACAGAGATCTGCCGCCTGTCTCTGCCTCCTGAATGGTGGGATTAAAGGTGTGTGCCACCACTTCCGACTCAAATCTTAAGGGAAACTGACTTTCAGATAATAGTTCCTCAGACCCATCTGCTTCTGTATATACCCTTCCTCCCTGTGGCCACCAGGGTTATGTCCTCTTGAGTATTTAATCTGTGGAATATTTTTTCTTTTTTTATATCTAACAACTTCCCAGTGGTCCCATCTATTCTATCGGATAATACTTTATAAACATGGTAATTTCTCCCATTCTAAAAACATGTTCGTGGTTTTTTTGTTTTGTTTTGTTTTGTTTTTTGTTTTTTGCCTGATTTCTCTCCTTCCATCATAATCACTTTTTAAAATTTATTTATTACAATTTATTCACTTTGTTTCCAGCTGCAGCCCCCTCCCTCATATCCTCCCCATGCATGCTGCCCACCCTCCCTCTTCTCCCCCTATGCCCTTTCCCCTAGTCCACTGTTAGGAGAGGTCCTCTTCCCCTTCTATCTGACCCTAGCCTATTAGGTCTCATCAGGGCTGGCTGCATTGTCTTTCTGGCTGCTGCTCCCTCAGGGGGAGGTGATCAAAGAACCAGCCACTAAGTTCATGTCAGAGACAGCTCCTGCTCCCCTTGCTAGGGAACCCACTTGGAGATGAGCAGCCTATGGGTTTCCTCTGAGCAGGGTATCTAGGTCCTCTCCATACATGGTCCTTGGTTGGAGTATCGGTCTCTGCAGGACCCCTGGGACCAGGTTTTTTGGCTCTGTTGGTCTCCTTGTGGAGCTCCTGTCCCCTCCAGATCTTTCTATCTCCCCCTTCTTTCATTTTCTATCTCTCCCTTCTTTCATATGATTCCCTGCACTTTGTCCAAAGTTTGGCTATGAGTCTCACTATCTCCTTTGATACCCTGATAGGTAGAGTCTTTCAGAGGCCCCTGTGGAAGGCTCCTGTCCTGTTCCTTGTCTTCTCCTACTTCTGATGTCTATCCTGTTTGCCCTTTTGAGTAAGATTTCAGCCTCTTCACTAGGGTCCTTTTTGTTGTTTAGCTTCTTTAGGACTTTTTTTTTAAACGGTGATCTTACCTAAGTCCTAATGAATGCTGAGCAAGCTGAGTCATAGCCCCTGGCCCACAATGAGTCCTGTTAAAATTCTAAAGCTACTGTGAGGCTACTGCTCTAGAATATTCAGTCCTCCATTTAACCTGGCTCCTCTTTAGCATTTGGCTCTGTTAACTGTTCATTCTTTTGGTAAACTCTCCTCACAAGGTAAAAGTTCCCTGGATTTTATCCTCTTTGTGTCTGCTTATCCTCATTTAGTTGTTTACCTCTGTGTGTGACATGTTGAGACTCTGTCCTTAAGATGTGCTCATTACCCTTCCTGCATCCCTGTACAGTATTATATTCATCCAGTTTCTTGTGTGTTGAGATAGGGGTGTCTTGTAGCCCAGATTAGCTTGAACCGTTCAGGATAGGTTGCCTTGAACTTGTGACAGTCTTCCTTCATCGGCATCTGAAGTTCTGGGATTACAGGTGTGAGCCATTATACCTGGCTAATCCTGTGGTTCTAATTACCATATGCTTACCAATAATCTCAGATCAGTGCACACTGATTGTTCATTAACAGCCTTATAGTCCTTCAGTCCCTGACTGAAGGGCACTTACCTTGGTAAACTCTGAAGAAGCTTCTGTTGCTATGACAGCCATACCCCACAAGTATGCTATGATGGCATGCATATTGATGCCCCTTGGTCTGAAAGAAAGGAGGTGTTTCTATAACAACATTCAAAGGACTTTAAACATCATCTTTTAAGAAATTGTGCATCTTCAACAAAACCTTTCTATGTTGACCAGATCTTGGTCAGAATTATATCTGAATTAACCACTGAAAGATTTCATTGACACTAAATCTTAAAGTGCAGTATAATTCTAAAAAAACTCGCTGTAGTAGCATAGTCATGATTGTAGTTACAAACTGAATCTAGGGGAAACATTTAAGTACACAGAATCTACTGGGTTTGGTGACAAACATCTGTAATGCCAGCCCTTCAGAGGAAGAGGTAAGATGGTCAGGAGTTCAAGGTCATCTTTGGCTCCATAGTAAGTTCTAGACCAGCTCGTACTACAAAAGACCTTATACCAAATAAATAATAAACACATAAAGTTTTTTAAAAGTATACATGTTCATAGAGATGTGAACATAGATGGAACCTGAAGGTAATTTAACTCTGCCTTACACTTCTCTGATTGTTGAATCTTAAGGGACTATCCAGTCTTGATCACAGTGGATTGAATATCTGATGACAGAGATGCTTTCAGAAATGATCCGTGTGGTATTGATGAGCTGTTGAGCTTCGAACATTAGTCTTTCTACTGAGACAAGTCTGCTGTGTCTCCTTGTATCTTTTCCTACCAGCTGCTGATCATTCCTTTTTTTAAAACCTCCAGCTCAATGCTGAGTTAATATCTTCGACATACTATTTCCAATACTTGGCCATATTCAATCAAAGTCTATTTCTGAATTTTCCATTATTTTTTCTTTGATCTGTTTATTCGTGAATCATTACTATAACATTCCATTTTCATTTCATTTCTTTTTAAAATTTAAATTAATTTTTTTCTTCACAATTTATTCATTATATATCCTGATTGAAGCCTCCCTTTGTCCCCCCCCCCCATCCCAACCTCCCTCCTTTTCCCCCTATTCCCTTCTCCTAGTCCACTGAAAGGGGGAGTTCTCCACTATTACCATTTGCCCATAGTTTGTTAAGTCTCATCAGGGCTGCCTGGATCCTCTTCCTCTGTGGCCTGGCTGCATCACCAGGGGCAAGTGATCAACTCAGTCAACTGAGTTTGTGATAGAGGCAGCCCCTGCTCCACTCAGTCAGAGATCCACATGGAGACTGAGCTGCCAATCGGCCACATCTGAGTAGGGGGTCTAGGTCCTCTCTATGCATGGTCCTCCAATGGTGCATCAGTCTCTGCAGGACCCCCAACAAGATGGGACCCTACTATAGAGGGTCCTCAGAAAGGATTCACCCAACAGGGGATCAAAGCAGTTGCTGAGACTCAGAGTCAAACTTTGGGCAGAGTGCAGGGAGTCTTATGGAGGAAGAGAGGGGTGGGACAGAGTGACACGGTGGGGACAGGAGCCCCAAGGGAAGACCAAGAAAACTAAAAGATCTTTTCTTTTTTTAAAAGATTTTATTTATTTATTATGTATACAATGTTCTGTCGCATGTACACCTGCACACCAGAAGAGGGCACCAGATCTCACTATAGATGGCTGTGAGCCACCATGTGGTTGCTAGGAATTGAACTCAGGACCTCTGGAAGGGCAGCCAGTGCTATTAACCTCTGAGCCATCTCTCCAGCCACATTCTATTTTCTTTTTAAGATTCATTTCTATTTCTAAAATTATGTGTATGTGTATGTCTGTGTGTGGTACATGTGTAAGTTCAGGTGCCTGTGGAGGCTGAAGAGGGTGTTGGATCCCCTGGACCTGGAGTTACAGGCAGCAGTGAGGTGGTTAGCATGAGTGCTGCTACAAACTGATCCTGGGTTCTCTGAAAGAGCATCTGCCCTTGACTGCAAAGCCATCTCTCTAACCCCACACCACAGTGCTTTATTACTGATATTTTAGGATCCAAAAGAACCAGCCTTTCTCATGGATTTTTAATTTTTTCAACATTTCTTGGCTTTTCTTATTTCTTTATGTAACTTTATAATCTAGCTCTAGAAAAAATGATTTTTTTAAAAATTAGGATGTCAAGTTTATATATTAACTCAGAACAGACAACTTTCTAATTCTGAACTGTCCTATCCAAAAACATGGAGTGTGACATGTACTTTATGCTTAGAATTTTGCTAAATAATTTGCTCACCTTGAATATTTCTTAAGTTTATGTCTAAATATTTTATTTTGATGTTTTATAACTTTTGCACTGTAGTTTTATATGCGGTGTGAATTTACTCAATTATTATTTTTAGTTTCTTTTTCATTTGGTTTTCTTTTGGATTAATGTTGATATAATGTTCTTTTGGAATGTATGCAATTTACCCTTGTTCATCCAAATGCTGATTTCTCTACCCCACTATCTGGTTTCAATCAAGACATTGCATTGTGATGTTTATTTTAAATATCACCTGTCTCAAGTTTGTGCAAACATGCCACCATTTGTTCTCTATATTGTCAATTAAACAACCAGCCCCAATGTTGAGCAATGGAGAGGATAGGATATTGGTCCGGAGTGGGAAGAAGAGGAAGAAAGCAGGGAGGAGAAGAGGAGAATCTGCAGAAGAGGTTCTTGGAACCATATGGAGAAATGAACTGGAACTAAGATATGACTAAAAGCTAGTATAATGGGTGAAATCTGAATGGTAGGAAACTATGTGGGCTTGGAGGTTTAGGATAGAGTACCTTTGGCTAGCATTGTGC